TCTGTATGTCTCCGGTTTGTTGCGATTGCCGCCCGCTGCCGAGTTTTTCGAGAGTACATGAGATGGGCTCGATGAACTTGCTCGCCAACATAAGAACGTCCTCTTTGTGTGTGTTTGTACATATGCGGGATAGGATTCGCGAACTCTCTCCCTTCCCAAGCATTTCACTTCGTCTACTGCTGTAGACTGGTCTAGCTGCTTTTGTCTTCTGTCCTTCTCGGTTATCTCCGCTCCTTATTTTTTTGTTTGTTCTTCTAACAGTTTGTTGGGGTCCTATGGGTCCCCCCGTTCACAACCAGAAATCCATTTTTACTTGATTGAACGGACGGGTATATATCCTCCTTTGCACAGACAGGTGGCAGCCCCCACGAGGCAACTCGCCGCCCTCCTTTCACATATATATCCTTACGACACCCCTCCTACAGCAGTAGCTCAAACACACCAGTATGCCTTCTTAGGCATCCAAGGCGTGTGGGGGGGGGTCATCGTCGATGAGCATGAGAACCAGCCCCGTCAACTGCCCAAGTTCACCGCAGACGACGCTTTATTTGTTTGGTTGCTTTTGGGGGGGGGTGTTTCCTTGCCACATCCTGTCACCTGGTCGGACCCACAGACAAGTAGTAGTAGGTGTTTTGCCCCCTTCATGCACTCGTTCACCACAAGAACAACAGTAGTTCTATTCCATGTTCAGACTGGAGGACACAAACGCAGATGATACGCCCTCTGCGTCTCTCCCCTCTCGTCAATCTCCTGTCTCGCTCCTTTTGGGGGCGAGAGGAAATAAAGCTAGACTGGGGTCCGCTCGCATGCAAAAAATGAGCAGAACGCGTTCTGGGTGATCTCATCTAGGAGTATATGGCTGTATTCGTACGTAACCAGATGCATGTGCGTAGACCAGCAAGCACTTCTCGGCATTGTAGTGGGATTTCCTCGCCAGAAGAGAAGTAGTGCATATACGCAGGGGCGTGGGGAGAATGTTATTTTTAGTCCACTCGGTGCCGGTCGTGGACTGTTCTTCTTCGGGCGGAACTTGGGTAACTCCTTTGCGCAGAAATATTCTCTTCAGCAGCCCGCGAGCGTGCTAATGAAGTACACGNCGTTTCCCCCGCCGCCGCCGGGTGTCAACACTCTCGCCGCCGGTGCTGCTGCCGATGGTACCGCTCTGGGTGCGAGGGCCTGCGCCCCGACCGTCCCGACGGCCGGCGTCGCGGGAAACACATGACTGCCGGTGGTCCCTCTTCTCGCCACTGGTGCTGCTGCCGATGCTGCCGCTCCCGCCACGAGTGCCTGCTGCCCGGCCGCATGGTTCCGTTCAATCCACGAATGCATGCCCCCCGAGCGTCCCGACGGCCGGCGTCGCCGGGAACACATGACTGCCGGTGGTCCCTCCTCTCGCCGCCGGCGCTGCTGCCGATGCTGCCGCTCCCGCCACGAGTGTCTGCTGCCCGGCCGTCTCCCCCGCCGCCGCCGCCGGGGGAAACCCCTGCGGCCGGGGGTCACCACTCTCGCCACCCGTGCTGCTGCCGATGGTACGCCTCTAGCGCGAGTGTCTGCGCCCCGACCGTCCCAACGGCCGGCGTCGCCGGGAATACATGACTGACTGTGGTCCCTCCTCTCGCCGCCGGTGCTGCTGCCGATGTTGCCGCTCCAGCCACGAGTGCCTGCGGCCCGGCTTTCTCCCCCGCCGCCGCCGCGGTGAAAACCTTGCCGCCGGGGGTCAACACTCTCGCCGCCGGTGCTGCTACCGATGGCACCGCTCTAGCGCGAGTCCCTGCACCCCGGCCGTCCCGACGACCGGCGTCGCGGTGAACACATGACTGCCGGGGGTCCCTCCTCTGGCCGCCGGTGCTGTTGACGATGCTGCCGCTCCCGCCACGAGTGCCTGCGGCCCGGCCGTCTCACCCGCCGCCGCCGGGGGAAGACCCTGCCGCCGGGGGTAACCACTCTCACCGCCGGTGCTGCTGCCGATGGTACAGCTCTAGCCGCGAGTGCCTGCACCCCGACCGTCCCGACGGCCGGCGTCGCGGGGAGCACATGACTGCCGGTGGTCCCTCTTCTCGCCACTGGTGCTGCTGCCGATGATGCCGCTCCCGCCACGAGTGCCTGCGGCCCGGCCGTCTCCCCCCGGCACCGCGGGGAAAACCCTGCCGTCGGGGGTCACCACTCTCGTCCCTGATACTGCTACCGATGGTGCCGCTCCCTCCGCGAATCCCTGCGCCCCGGCCTTCTCCCCCTGTCAGCCCATCGCGATGAACGTTTTGAGGCGATTTTCGTGCGATTCTTTCGCGTCAGGTTTTTTATTGTAGTATCCTATCATCGTAGGTTTTCGTCGGATTCATATCTTTGGCCTTGTCATCGTCGGCACCANGGCCCGGCCGTCTCCCCCCGGCACCGCGGAGAAAACCCTGCCGTCGGGGGTCACCACTCTCGTCCCTGATACTGCTACCGATGGTGCCGCTCCCTCCGCGAATCCCTGCGCCCCGGCCTTCTCCCCCTGTCAGCCCATCGCGATGAACGTTTTGAGGCGATTTTCGTGCGATTCTTTCGCGTCAGGTTTTTTATTGTAGTATCCTATCATCGTAGGTTTTCGTCGGATTCATATCTTTGGCCTTGTCATCGTCGGCACCATAGTTGTTTCAGGGTCTTTATCACGGTCTGGACGCCTTCATTCTTCAGTCACTTTGTTTCTGCTTTGTTCGTGCTCGAGCAGTTGCGGCTTCCCGTAGAAATAACAAGAGAGGCTTCAGACAGGCAACGCCGACGAAACTCGTCGAGGAGTTGCACATCAATCCGTACACCACGAGGAGATGAATTCCATCCCACACGGAGAGCAGGGACACACCGGACCTCGTGCCCCACATTTTTGCCACGCATTGTCCCATGCAGCACAACAAAGTGGGGGCCCTCTCTTTTTTTTCTCGAGAAACCAGACATCAGCGTGGCACGTCCCTCCACTGAAACTCTCGAAACGAAAGTATGCAATCAACTGTAGACCACTCACTCTCGCGTTGCGAGTGGAGGTTCGATCAGAGACGGGGCGGTGGTCTGGCGTGTTTTTGGCTCTTCTGTCAAGTAGATTGCGATAGATGATCGTGGGGATGAGGTTTAGACTTGAGGGTGCCGGGTCGGCCCCTCCGTGTAGTCGACCCTGAATGTATATGGAGTGCTGTATAGGATGCATGGGTGGCGAGGGAATTCTAGAGCGGAGGGGACGCCCCACCGGGTTGTTGTTGTTTCTCGCATTAGCTCTATCGTCCACGAAAAATAGGGAGCCCGTGGTCTCAAAACCCGGCACATACGACGCCGCGGGGAAACAAAACAAAAATAGGGTACAGACCACTTGGAGAAAAAAAACAAAATTGTACGAAGTAGAAAGAAAAGAAGAGGTACCGCACTGACCGTTCGAGAAAAGTCCTCGGATTCGGGTGTGTCAGGCGTTTTGTACACTTCAGAATACATGTGTTGTACCAGGTACAGAGTAGACTCAAATGCATTTCTTCACGCAATACACTTCATCTCACGAAGACCACCCACATTGTCTGCTATCTGCTGTATGTGTTCTCGTCCTACAGACTAAAATGCTGTGGACAAATCAGCAACGATTTGACATGGATTCCTTGGGTTACGCATGGCGTCGGGCATGGTGAAAAAGAAGAGTAAGAACAGCCGCGGGCGGAGAAAAAAGAAGTTCGAAAATCGTTCCCGAAGAACCAAGAACGGTTCCCAGACTCCAAAAGAACCTGCGGAACGACGATCTTCTCATCTTCTAGAAGAGGTTACGCCGCATCTGGAACTCACCCTCGCCCCCTCCCCCCCTCGCCCCCCCACCTCCTCGCACAAACTATGGACAGCATCAAGAACAACAATAGCAACACCACCATCACCATGCACAGCAAGGCCACGGACAACAACCACAACAGCAACAGCAACGACATCAACATGACAGCGTGCGTGACGAACAAGCCCAGCTGCAAGCTTACGGGAGAGTCGAACCCTCTGCTGTACAAGGCTGCAGCGAGGAACCTTCGCGAGTACCACGGTGTCCCCTCCATGACAGCGGGCGGCCTGGAGAAGACCATGGTCCTGCTCCAGCTCCGCCCCGGCCGCCTGGTGGCGCAGGGACTTGCTCCAAAGCANATCAAGAACAACAATAGCAACACCACCATCACCATGCACAGCAAGGCCACGGACAACAACCACAACAGCAACAGCAACGACATCAACATGACAGCGTGCGTGACGAACAAGCCCAGCTGCAAGCGTACCGGAGAGCCGAACCCTCTGCTGTACAAGGCTGCAGCGAGGAACCTTCGCGAGTATCACGGTGTCCCCTCCATGGCAGCGGGCGGCCTGGAGAAGACCATGGTCCTGCTCCAGCTCCGCCCCGGCCGCCTGGTGGCGCAGGGACTTGCTCCGAAGCAGCTCCTCGAGGGGAAATCAGCAGCTGACGACGCTGACGCGGACAACACGGACAGCAGCAG